TCGAGAAATGCGGTGGTTTCGGGGGTCAGAGTAGGCACTTGTTTAAGTGTTGCTTTTTAATTTCCTCAGAAATTAACTGCAAACTTGGGGGTAGATCAGTATATTCTAGGGTCTATAGGCGACAGAAGATCGGCGGAACACGCGTGTATAGGCCTTTAGCTAGTACCTGTGTTGCTAGTATGATATCTTCCTAACATAAAATATACTACTAGCTGCTTGTCGGCAGTTAACGAATAGTACGCGGAATGGCATTACCGACATTCTGCCATTCTGCCTAAATCATGCACCGCTGTGCGGCTGCTGGTTTGGCTCGAGAGAGAGCCTATAAGGCAAAACGGAACGAGTGAGTTACGTAAGAACGATCGATAAGCGCCCCCTACTATTGAATAGTGCGCGGTTATCCGCTGTGGATGATGGATTTCGGCCCAGATATTCATACAGCAAATTTTGGTTTACACCCATACACGCTAGAATATACTGATTTACTCCAAGTTCGCAGTTAGTTTCTGGGGAAATTAAAAAGTAATAATTACTAAACTGGAGTATCTACCAGGAAGCACGCAAAGAATGTTGGGGGACCCACTGGTGAGTCGAACCCCTCGCAGCTGCGCCATGCGACGGCATAATATCGGCGAAACACGCGTGTCTGGGCTTTTAGCTATTACCTGTGCTGTTAGTATGGCATCCTGTTACCTGAGTAACTTATTAAAACTTGTGATTTGATGACGTAAAACTCACTATAAGTGCATGCCTCCTTTGCTATTGAGTACCCCACAGATTTGGAGAGTGGAGTGCTTCAAAGCATCACACCCAGAGAATTTAAATTGCGTACCGCTGGGCTTGGGGATAATACAGCTCACAGGTCTCTAAATTGTAGTCCCCACTGTTTGTCCAAACTGAGGAAATCGCCTCGCAATCAGTATTTCGGACTAAACGCAGACGATGAATCCCCCCTTTCATTTGCGCAAGAAGTCCGAATTTGACCAGTTTTGCTATTGTTACTCCATCCCCAGCGGTACAAAATTAATGGTTAACAGTTTAACTGTGCGTTAGAACAGCGTGGCCGCCTACTCCAGCCGCGCGATATATTTGTCCAATCATTAATCCTTTAATTCTCAGGGCCATGCTTTAGCTATTCCAACCCGCGTTTGACAATATAGTCTTCACTTTTCAGTCGATCCTAGTTTATGCAGTGTCACTGACTTTATGAAAAAAAGATGTCTCCTCGGTGACCTTCTCGATCAAGTGCATTTGAAAGAAATCCGTCTTTCGGCACACCACGTAACCATGAGATTCCAGAAAATGCCTACAACAATGAAGTGTTCCTCGGCTTATTAGCCGTCGTCAGCCGGCCATACCTACCCCCCGAGGTGGGAAACACCTGGGACTCGACCCCGCGACCCGCTGGTTAGAGGTCCAACGCCCCTAACCACTGAGTCATGGGCTGGTTGTCCTACCGGCTGCGATCGGGTAGAGGGGCGGCCACCGATCGCACCACGGAACACACTCTTCTCGTTGTGCTTTGGAGCTCTCTTCCTCTATAGTCCCTCCAGCAGCCCGGGCAAACGACGTTCAATGGTTCAGGCTGGCGTATTCAGCACAGAGATCATCAGTAGGCCAAACCCCCAATATTTTCGACTAATCGGCACTGACCGACGATAACTATTGACTTATAATAAACTGACAGTTCGGGTACAATCGCGTTCGGATTATGCAGATGGCGGTGTGAAGTGAGAATATGCCTCATTAAATTCATGGTCGATGAGTTCGAATTTTTACCCAGCAACAAATAAACGCAAGCGTGTCAGTCAACTCTTGTCCAGGAATACCGAGGAAATTGCAGCGATTTCCAAAATCGTATGATCCTAACCAGAGCGATTCCTTTCCCTGCAAGCGCTAAACTTGCACAAAGTTACTATATACTTAGACGATCAACCCTGTAAATTAAAAACTCCTTCCCTTTCGATTCTGCCTTCTTTCAAAAGGGTGACCTTGCTGTAGAAAATAATCTGAGTGCTAAGTGACAAACCTAACAGATCCGGACTATTCGTTGAAATAATTTAGGCGAAAGTAGGCTGAAGGACCCCAATTTGTTATTGAAAGACTGTGGATCGTATTCTGATGAATTTGAGTGTGAAATCTGTTTAAGTACTGATGACTAGCAGAGAAACAATAACGGAGGTCAACTGAGCATGAATTGAGGGATAACAGAAATGTTTGGTCGAGGAGAGACTCAACTGTTTGGTGATCAAGCACCCTTTCAAGATGGGGCGCCATAGATGCCGTATCTGCATACATCCACCATCTTAATCGAAGCACATTTTGCCATCGACCGTCTT